GGATTCAAAAAGTTTCTGCCCTGTGATCTGCCCTAAGGTTCAGCTATGGGAGTGGTGAGTGGAGGGACGGGCAAGCATCTCGCCCAAAAACCAGCCATGAAATTGACAACTACTTGATGATTTGATTTTACACATTCTGTTTTGGGGGCAGCTCTGCAACATACCCAGGAAGCTAGTGAAGTGCTATCTGACCCAACTGGTCGCTGGTGGAGCTTCAACATTGACGGGGGCCACTACTTGATCCTCGAAAAGAAGGGCCTTCCAGAACACTTGAAATCAATTGAGAACCTCGACCGGGCGGTTACATTGGCAAGCTTACTTACAGACCTGGAGGACTTAGGTGAAGCATCTTGGTGTTCAATTCATGTAATCAAATTGTCCAGTGCATGGTAAAATTGTATCAAGCTGGTATGATTTTCACAAAATGACAGAATCTCGATGATCAGCTGTGCAATGCAACAATGTGTCAATTCAAATGACTTGCACGGTATTCATGTTAGTTTAAGCAAATGGTAGGCTGGTAGGGGTTGTATTGCTATGATTTCTGAACCCCACTTTGGGAATACCTGGAAGTCCCAGGTGAAAGTGGAAGTAAGCCACCATGCTTTCAGTGACGGGCAGTGGTCTTGTACAAAACCATTGGTGTTCGTCATGGATGACCCTCCCAATGGTGAAGTGAAAAAGGAAAAGAAGAAGAAAAAGACCGTGCCCATCACCCAAAAAAATTTCGGAAGCTACCTCGACATCGAGAAGATCAAGTCCTCGCAGGTGATGGTCCTTGCGTGGCGCTGCAGGCTTCTTGCGTTGCATTGTGCTGTGCATTTTTTTTTGGGCGGGTGGTTTCTGGTTAATTTCTTCCAACCATTATTTTTTAGGCCCAGATCAAATTCCATTGCCTAGGCTGGACTGTTCGGCCGCCCAGGGTGCAAAAGTGATCACTCCGATTAGGCCTGTCATGTGCCTGAACCAAAATTTGGATTTGTCAGATACCGCAATTCGTCTGATGTAGACAGATCTGTTTGCTGGAAAGCCAACCGCTGATTCTCATTCGACTGCAACAAGAAGCGGGCTTGTTGATTTTGAAGAATAGATTTCGTCAGCCCATATGTTGGCACAGGGTGCTGGCTGATGTGCAGCGCAAAGGGAGCATTTGGGTTGCGGCTTGAATCTGACCGCCGGAAAAACTTGACCCAAGCTAGATTTTCTGTCTTCTACTACTTGGTGGTTCAACCTTTAGTGCTTCTGCTGCGTCACCTAGCTGGGAACTATTTCCCAAAGCTTTGAGCTGAGATGGAATGTTGGTTGGGTCGACAGTATGGCTTGAAGATTGATCTAACACTAATTGAATCATAAATACACTTTTGATCAAAGATACATGACACAATTTTTGGTGTTTCAAAAGCCGGGCACATATACCCAACCAATTCCGTGAAAACGGAGTGATCTACCCTTTCTGTGAAAACGGGGTGATCTACCCATGTGGACGCGGAACCAAAAATTTTACAGTTATGCCGGCTGGATCCCATGACACAGGTCAGATTGAAATCAGATTCCATACATTGCTATTGAACTTAATCCCACATCATTACCGGCATTTCAGTTTGATTTTGGATCAATTGTTTTTCATGGTGTAGCTTGAGGGCAATGGCCTCCGATGATGAAAGTAGTATCGAGGAGGTGCCACTCACACAATCCGTGAGACCGCCTGTATCTTGGATTCAAACTAGCTGCCCTGATTGGCAAAAAAAGTTTGACCAGAATTTCATGAATTACTGTTGAATGAAAGATGTCCTTGTTCCATCTTGTTCCGATCTAAGGCATTCGACTTGCAGGCCATGCTACGTGGTTCTAATCCTTCTGCTACCCCTGCCCGCCGAACAACCAGTAGTGTTCCTCCGTCTGCCGTCCGAGCATCTTCGGTGGCTTCGCCAGCAGCAAGTTCGCTGACTTCGCCACGACCTGCTCCTTTGCCAGCTGTGACAGGCTGGGCTTGCTTGAGAACTGTTTGAAAAGAAACGAGATTTTGCAAAGAATTTTCACTAGTCACAAGTCCAAAGATGCACAGTTACTTGCAAACCAAACAATGGAGGTTCTCATGCGTTACCTGGACGTGTCAGCAATTCAGATGATTCCTCTGGTGACAAGAATGACAAGAATGACAAGATTGACAAGAAGGCCGTGCCCACTGCCAAATCGAAGTCCAACCCGAAAAGAAAAGCCAAGGCAAAAGCCAAACCACATGATGAAGCAGATGCAGATCATGATCCTATAGATGATCAAGACAATGACGACCCAGACTCTGATGACTGCAATGATGGGATCCCTGACGACTTAAGGCCAGGAGGTAAGGCAGCCAAGCGGCCAGCTTCAGCAAAACTGGGCCCGCGAAAAAAGCCAGCAGCTGCCAGTACCAGAAGTCGCAAGAACAGTGACCTGGTGAATGGAGATGACGAGGACCGTACGTTGCAAGCAATGGCAATGAAAACACAAAAAACTTAGCACTGCAATTTGATTGTCAACAAGTTTTGGTCAATTTGCCATTGTATGTTGAATTATGATGAATACTTTTGAACCATTTTCCAGGATCGAGCCCAAGAGAACGAACCGTTTGCCTTTGAACTTCATGGCATCCATGTCAAAGAAGAGGAGCTGCTTGACAACAACTTACATACATGTGTTTTGTTTACATCATGTGAGAATAAGAATGAAACACAATTTCAACCAGAAGACATATACCAAGGCGAACCGAGTTGTGGGAATACCCTGACAACCAAGAGGGCCTCATGATGTCTTGCCGATCAGTTCCTGCCCCTTGGTGTGATTTACTCATGTGCCAACAGTTGTCCCTTGGGCGCCCGGAATGTCCTGCCTCCTGCCAGGACAGCTTGGACAAGTCCAATGCGATGAAGGACCCTCCTCAGACTGAGCTGGAGCCCACGGATCTTGGATTTCAAGCTGCTCAGCTTAAACATAAAAAACTAACAACATCTAACAACTTGATTGCCTTTTGCCATACCAAACCGAAAACTATTCAACACACAGTTTATTTTGTTGATGCGGTTAGCCCCACTAATTATGAACCGTCCATTTTGAATGCCATTTTCCATACCCTACGATTTGTTTGGAAAGTGATGGGCCAACTGAAAATCCTATGAACCTGAGGACATGCGTGATCCTTCTGATGTTGACGCTACCTTGCAGGAAGCTGACAAGAAATATGCCGACGATGTTGCCTCCACTCTTCCGGATTGCGAAAGTTTGGAAATGATTCCGGGTTGCGACAGTTTGGAAAAGGAGGTGCCACTCCTAGTGCATTGCCAGCATCCACATGTGATGTATTTTTTTTGACTGGCCTGCCACAAGTTGATCGTTTTATGTTCTTTTTGGTTGCTTGAGCCAAACCGATCTTAGGCCGCCAGTGTGGGGGCAAAAGATATGAAGCTTATCTTGGATGAGCTGGCGCCCTTAGCAGGTGAGGAGACGCAGTATATGATGAGAGCAGAAGCGCTTCTTTCTGTGCCCCATGCTCCGGACGGCGCCGCTTTGGTTCCGAGAGCTGTGGTACAGAGCACCCTTTCAGCCATCAACATTGCCCTTGAGAAGGTTCAGGGCGTGATTGACCGGACCACCCCTTCTGCCCAGCAAGAGTTGGAAGAAACAGAGGCCTTGAACGCAGCCAGAAAAGCAGAGTTAGGTGTGCCTATTGAACCACGTCACCCGGATGAGGACAACCAGGAACCCTCTGAAGATCAGGAAATGGAGATGCTGGCAGAGCTGGAAGTTCAGGAGATGCAGATGGATGATGGGACAGAAGGCCAAAAGAATGAAAGCACGAATGAAAGCCAAGAAGCACAGGATGATGAGGAGAACATCACGCCCTGCAGCAAAACCACGCCAAAGGCAAAGTCAGGAGCCAGCAAAGCTTCGGCGAAGAAGCGCCCACGTGCCAAGCCAACCGCAAAGGCCAAAAGCAAGAGTTGCAAAAAACCAGCCAAGAATGCGAAGAAGGCGTCCAGTGCCAAGAAAGGCAAGCCAAAGAAGACCGATGACCCAGACGTTGCCCTGAAGAAGAAGCTTCATTCCGCTGCTCAACTGCGCATAGGCAAACCTAGTAAATGTCCAATGTGCCAAGTTTGCAATAACAGCTGCGTGCGATCAATTTACAGTCACTCTTCCACTCTTTCTTCTTGCAGCCCATTCAACAGATCAGTCATTTCATGTGTATCATGTCCCAGGTATATTCTTCAACTTGGTCAACTTGTGCAGCTCGCGGTGAGAGTGGAGAAGCGTGTCGCAGGAAAGCATTGGATGCCAGAGTGAAGCAACTCAGCCAGAATACTGCCATCATCTTTTGCAGTCTTCAGTCAAAGTTTAGAATCGCAGAGTGCAGCTGGTGTAGTTTTAGCCCAAGTATACCATCCATCTACCCTTTACCCGACCACAGCATTCCACAGCTCGCCAAGGTGGATTACAGAAAATGGCCACTCCGAAAACCCGGTGGCCGCAAAGTTTCTTTAGGGGTTCAGCCAAGCATCAAATGAATGTGTTGCTTTGACACATGCACATGGCTGCATCGATGGGGTAAAAGAAAGTGCTGCGTGTGATGGTGGCGTTTCTGTGACTTACATGAATCAAGTGAGTTAGACAAATTGAATGCCATTCAATGGCTGCCAAAATGATTTCTGATGTTTGTTGCAGCTTGTTTGATTGCACATGGTTGCGACTATTTTCCACCTCTGATATCTTTACTTGATTATCTTTGAGCCCTGACATGGCAAAGACCCACTTTCACTTTGGAAAGGACCTGCTTCACCCTGAACTGTCATACATACATACATACATACATACATACATACATATATATTCACCACAACATACATACCATACATGTCTTACTTGTTTTTTAAATCAAATGATTATTTACTTGTGTCTTTTTGATCATGCAGCTATTCATATCAGATGTCTTGGGACAGGTAGCCACCACCAGACTCACTTCCCAGGTGGAGATTGCTGTCGACAATCCCACTGCGGCTGAGGCTGAGGTGGAAGGAGGAGCAGCTGGGTTGCAAGGATTCCCTCTATTATTTTTTTGTGGATGGGTCAAATCCTTCTGTTACCATAATTGTAGGATTGGAGGGCACATTTACATAAATTCACTGTCTCTGTTTTTAGGGTTTTCGAAGGGCACCAGAGTTTTGACTCATAGCCATGTGTCACAGATTCAGATATGTTTCTCCTTTACCTGGATGCCTTTTGGGGGGTGGGGGCACAACAAAACGTATATATTTTAAGTGTTTTTTTGCACAGAGGTCAACCGATAGATTCATAGATCAATTCAATTCAATTCATAAATGATGTATGATATGTATGCATACATCTCCATTTACTGATTGGTGTTTTCTTTTTTGTTGGGGGGATGGTTACTATACATAAATACATAAATGACATAAATACATACATTCATCCATCCATCCATACAGCCACCCATCCATACGTACATGCAGACATAGATACATAACTACATGCATACTTCCATACATATATACACCACAATCATGCCACATGTCTTACTTGTTTTTGAGATCAAATGATTATATATTTACTTGTGTCTTTTTGATCATGCAGGTATTCATATCAGATGTCTTGGGACGGGTAGCCACCACCAGACTCACTTCCCAGGTGGAGATCGCTGTCGACAATCCCACTGCGGTTGAGGCTGAGGTGGAAGGAGGAGCAGCTGGGTTGCAAGGATTCATGATTATTTGAAGATGGGTCAAATCCTTCTGTTACCATAATTGGATACACAGCACAATCATAGCACGTGTTTTATCTGCGCTCATTCGCAGCTCATTCGCTCCGTGTTCAGGTGGCCGCCGATGCGGCGGATGCGCCGTTTTCACCTGAGGGTGATGGAGAGGGCCCTGAGGCTGGGGCCCCTCTGGAAGCGTTGGTTTCACGGGGATCTCATGACTTCATGGGGCTTCCTAATCTTAATGGTGATTTAAGGGGATTTCATTGGGATTTGATGGTGACTTAATGGGATGCAAATGAGGTTTGAACCAGCCAAACTTGGCAGCTAAGTATATGAGCGACGGGTATTCATATTCCCAAATAGGAAGCCAAGCACTAAAAGTGTTTCAAACCATTTGAGAGATGGTTAATAGTGATTTCATGGTGAAATGGGGTTTGATTGGTATGTGTAGGATATGTATTTATATATATATGCACCCAATTTCTCACGGAACAACCTTAGACTTAGACTTGATGTAGGTGAAACAATCGTAGGAAAGCTACACGAGCAAAACCCATGGTTGATTGGTTATTGCAGGCAATTACACTATTTGATATATGGTGGGGTTGACATCATCCTTTCTGGGAATCCCTATTAAACAAGCAGTATAAAGTGATGATGAAGGGTGTTAAACTCTGCTGACATGATTTGAGGGGATTTCAATCGATTGAAACCGCGCAAGCAAGCCCAATGACCAGTATGATCCAATAGGAATGCAAGTGAACATGTCGTTGGAAGATGTTATGTTCATTTATCTCACTTCAATTCATGTTAGATTTCTGCATTTTCCTCATGCTTTTGTGCGCTTGATGTCATGATATGTTGACACTTCAGGGCGAACCATGTCCAATGGAGACAACTCAGGTGGAGCCTGCTGTGCGTCCCGTTCCCTACATTTGCCTACAATAGTGGCATTGGTAGTAAAATAATAAAGTGTTAGTAGTGGTGATGGTAATTAGCCATGCTTCAAACCAGCATACTTGGATATCTTGGATATATTTGGACATCATATCTTGAATAACATGATCTCTCTATCTATATATGGGTCCCAAACCAGGCCGAGCCCATGACCACTGTTAGCCGCCACAGGGCGAGAAGCGTTTGCGGAAGCGCTTCAATCTAATCTCCATGCACAAGGCAACCAGCAATGGATGTCACATGATGTCACAGGTTACCTCAGAATTTGAGATGTGACCTTTGAAAGGTAGCTGCATGTAGAAATTTGAAACGCGACCCTACGAAAAATGTATTTTTTGGCAGTGACGGACGGGGACTTGTATGTAACTTGAATGATACGGGTTTGTAGGGTGTCTAGGTGTGAAGGTCTGTTCTTTCCGTTGGCCTTCAAGACAGCACATAGCTGTGACATAGCTATAGCCATGTCCATGGGACATGGGACTAAAATGTGATGACTCCATATTTGTGCTTGCTTAGCCGGTGTAAGTAGAGGTTATCACTAGAGGTTATCGTGAATCAGGCACCCATAGATTGCCGATCTGAACATGCTGAAGGAACGCGGTGAAGCCAATAGTAAATCATCTTGGGATGGGCTCGGCACCCACACGGTGAACATTGGAAGAGAAGAGCATGATTATTATCAATATCAGTTATAGTTATTAGGATAAACTACATTTAAATTTGAAAAATTGATAACTAGGATGTGCCACATGATCTTCCAATAGTCGCAATTTCCGGCCACGTCCTGTGCCTACGCGCTGCAGGAGCGGCCGGAGTACAAGGCCTTCAACGCGCGCTTCCCTCGGCACCTTCGACAGGAGGGGCAGCCCATGACGCCGGACCCGCGGGCGTATCCGTCCAAGCGCCAATGGGAGACGGCCGCGCAGAAGTGGCGCGAGGACTTGCGCGTGGCCAGCTGTGGGATGGCAGAGTTCCCAGAAGTGGCGTGACTTCAGCTCGACGGTGACACCTGGGAACCTCGTGGAACCTCAATGTTAATGGAACCTCAATGTAGGGAATATGTGGAATCTAGATAATATAGGACCTATGAGTTGGAAAAGAAAGATGGGGCCGTACAAGATCAAACATGTCCAAGCGTTTTTTTTGTGTGTGTTCTTTTCCAAGTCCCTCTTGGATGATACACCCATAGCATTGCGATATGCAAAAGGGTTGACAGAACGGAAGGGTTTCCAGGTGCTGATTCTCCAACGTGAGGCTTCCCTACGTTGGAGTTGTCGGCCAAAGCGATTGGGTTGCCAGTATACTGTGGTATCAGTTCTAGGGCAGGCCCAACACATGGCGGATTTCATGGTGGCTATGCATGGCCTTGGTGTGTAGCCTTCGTATGCCTTAGGGGTCCATTATACAGGAAAGGGGAGGCAAATCCAGCCGGCGTCATGTTGAGAAGTTGGTTTTTCTATCAAGATGTCTGTTCCGAACAGCTGCAAGACATTGGTTGGCTTAGTCGATGTGTAAATTTTTCATCTAGCCTTGTGAATCTGCTTTCTTCTGGTTGGTTGCCTGTTCAGACATAGGTTGGATGCCTGGCTTTGGTGTCCAAAACCTGCACAACTTACAGCGTTGGACGACTTTTAAAATCACTGGCTGGTAGTTGAATAGCCTTGCATCGCGGCGGTCGTTTTTCGGATTGCCATGTACAGAGGTGCAATGTCCTTGAAGAAAAATATAGGCGGTTGGGTCAGCGGTCCAGATGGCTAAGGGTCAGAAGTGTGTACCAAAACGATCAAAATCAACGTTTTTGGGTCCCGTAGACGTGAGGTCTTGTCTTTTGAACCATGCGGGACGATGCATTGTGACATGATCAGCATCTCTGTGTGAGGCGCCTTATTGAAACTGAGGAAAACAAGAGTTGTGAATGAAAGATGGGCCTCGACCACAGGAAGATGAATGATTTCAATTTATAATAGCTGGCGCTGGTTGGTTTAAGTGAATTGCAAATCAAGCATGTATGATCACAATTGATCGTATAAGTATATAATTGTATGTATATAATCGCATGCATATATATATATATATATTATGTGTGTGTGTGCTTGTGTGTGTATATACACGTGCATGTGTGTAGATACATGCATGATGATAGAGTATGTTTTGTATGTGTTTTGGTGTTCCCCAATCACATACGTGTTTCTTCACCGGGTTTCAATGGGGATCATCATCCCATGCAGCCGAGGATTATCATCCAGAGTGATGTAGATGGCAACAGCGAGTCGGAAGCTCAGGGAACTTGGGCCCTGGGTCCAAATGACTGTCTGATCGGACTCAAGATCGGGCAGGTTATTTATCGTTATTTACGTCAGGTTGAATCATGTTGAATCAATTGATTCCCCTACCAGCACCCTTCAAGGGGGTCCAAGGTGTTGCCTAGCATTGTCATTTGCCTGTCATTTGGATCAGAGGGAGTCCCGTTAGCCATGCAAATTTTAAACATGTGTAATTCGCGGTTTGAAGTCAGGGATTGGAATCAAGAGGTTCATCACTGTGGTGGCCATTGAATGTAGCGTGGGGCATTCACAAATTGTGTTATTTGAAGGTTTGATCAGTTTTAATTGCACATCACGACTTTCAATATAGGTCCCTACCGGGGGTGCCCAATAGAAACACTTTGTAAATTTAAGAGCCTAAAAACCCATTCGGCACCTGGTAATGCTGGTATATTCCAATGTTTCATGCTTAAATCCCAATTTTTGTGAGCAAAAAATGGGTGCCTGTATGTTTGACCCAAACCCATGTGGCACCGCTGAGCCACGGAGTGCCACCAGAGTGACATCCAACTTCCAAGCCAGGATTAAAACTCAGATATACGATTGTATGTGCGCATATAGTCAGATATAATATGATATAATTCTATCTCATAGAGAGAGAGAGAGGGAGAGTGTGTGTGTGTGCGTGACTCTATGTCTATATCTGGTTGGTGGTTTGGAACATTTTTTATTTTCCCCAATAGTTGGGATGATGATCCAATCTGACTAATATTTTTCAGAAGGGTAGGTATACCACGAACCAGCTATATTAACATAGCATTACATAGCTATCTTTTCCGCGATGCAGTATCCTGCTCATCGACGAGGTTGGACTTCCAAGAGTTCCTACACGTCATGGCGACGCACGAGCTGAATCACACCAAGGTGAGCCGTAAAAAAAACGCGATGTTTTTCCCGACGTTTTGGACGGAATTTCAGCAAGAAACATGGTGATTGAATGGTGACTTAATGGGAATTTAGTGGGCCTTAGGGTTATATATTTTAATGGGATTTCAGCAGATATGGTGATTTAGTGGGATTTAGCCATGACATATTAGGTAAATCATCTATTTCTGTGCTACGCGCCATGGCTTCCATGGCAAACTGCTACTTTGCTGGAGGGCAACCCCTCACAAATTCATACAACGTCATTTTTTTCTTGTGATTGTGGACTTGTTTGAGCCAAACACATGCAAGGTTTGATATTCTCAAAAAATATCAAAATGTTGTTTTTAATGTTTATCATGGACGGTCTGAGATTTGGCACTATTTAGCAATGTGAATCAAGATCAGGGGCACCAAATATAATTCCAAATCATCCCCTGGATCCTATAGGAAAAAATATGCTACCTGGTGGCACGGGGCACTCTCACTCGGCAGGTGTTACGGCAAGCCTTCAAGAGGATTTGCTCGTCAGCTGATACATGTGCCGCATGGGCATGATCCCTGTTGTTGTCCCATCGCCATAGTGAGCCCCGCTCGAACTCGAACTCGAACCCCCCCCCGGAAAAAAAAACCAAGCTTTCTGAGTCCGGACTCGCGGTCCACATGCTCGAACTCGAGTTCGAACTGGCGGTGACACAGTTCGAACTCGCGTTCGAACTCGCCCCAGAGCAGTTCGAACTCGATTTTGACCTGGCGGCGTCCGCGTCGAACTCGAACTCGAACTCGAACTCGCACCCCCCCCCCCGGGAAAAAAAAACAAGCTTTCTGAGTCCGGACTCGCGGTCCACATGCTCGAACTCGAGTTCGAACTGGCGGTGACACAGTTCGAACTCGCGTTCGAACTCGCCCCAGAGCAGTTCGAACTCGATTTTGACCTGGCGGCGGCCGCGTCGAACTCGAACTCGAACTCGCCCCCCCCCGGAGGGGAAAAAAAAACCTTTCCGAGTATGCATTCACGGTCAAGCTCTGAAAGACTGCGAGCTGTCAGCCGGGAAGTCAGGTGCCAGGAATTAATTTTTTTCCGTATCAGATTGAGGGGGGGAGATATGGCATGTTACCAACGCAAGCATCCAGGAAATAATTTTCTTACTTGGCTATCAGAGGGGTAAATTTATTGGATGTTGGACGTTGGGCACCAGGAAATTAGCAAAACAAATTCAAAAAGGTGGTTGGAAGTGAGAGTTCGGAAAAAAAAACAAGCTTTCTGAGTCCGGACTCGCGGTCCACATGCTCGAACTCGAGTTCGAACTGGCGGTGACACAGTTCGAACTCGCGTTCGAACTCGCCCCAGAGCAGTTCGAACTCGATTTTGACCTGGCGGCGGCCGCGTCGAACTCGAACTCGAACTCGAACTCGCCCCCCCCCCCGGAGGGAAAAAAAAAACCTTTCCGAGTATGCATTCACGGTCAAGCTCTGAAAGACTGCGAGCTGTCAGCCGGGAAGTCAGGTGCCAGGAATTAATTTTTTTCCGTATCAGATTGAGGGGGGGAGATATGGCATGTTACCAACGCAAGCATCCAGGAAATAATTTTCTTACTTGGCTATCAGAGGGGTAAATTTATTGGATGTTGGACGTTGGGCACCAGGAAATTAGCAAAACAAATTCAAAAAGGTGGTTGGAAGTGAGAGTTCGGAAAAAAAAACAAAGCTTTCTGAGTCCGGACTCGCGGTCCACATGCTCGAACTCGAGTTCGAACTGGCGGTGACACAGTTCGAACTCGCGTTCGAACTCGCCCCAGAGCAGTTCGAACTCGATTTTGACCTGGCGGCGTCCGCGTCGAACTCGAACTCGAACTCGAACCCCCCCCCCCGGGGGAAAAAAAAACAAGCTTTCTGAGTCCGGACTCGCGGTCCACATGCTCGAACTCCAGTTCGAACTGGCGGTGACACAGTTCGAACTCGCCTTCGAACTCGCCCCAGAGCAGTTCGAACTCGATTTTGACCTGGCGGCGGCCGCGTCGAACTCGAACTCGAACTCGAACTCGACCCCCCCCCGGAGAGAAAAAAAAAACCTTTCCGAGTATGCATTCACGGTCAAGCTCTGAAAGACTGCGAGCTGTCAGCCGGGAAGTCAGGTGCCAGGAATTAATTTTTTTCCGTATCAGATTGAGGGGGGGAGATATGGCATGTTACCAACGCAAGCATCCAGGAAATAATTTTCTTACTTGGCTATCAGAGGGGTAAATTTATTGGATGTTGGACGTTGGGCACCAGGAAATTAGCAAAACAAATTCAAAAAGGTGGTTGGAAGTGAGAGTTCGGAAAAAAAAACAAAGCTTTCTGAGTCCGGACTCGCGGTCCACATGCTCGAACTCGAGTTCGAACTGGCGGTGACACAGTTCGAACTCGCGTTCGAACTCGCCCCAGAGCAGTTCGAACTCGATTTTGACCTGGCGGCGTCCGCGTCGAACTCGAACTCGAACTCGAACTCGCACCCCCCCCCGGGAAAAAAAAAACAAGCTTTCTGAGTCCGGACTCGCGGTCCACATGCTCGAACTCCAGTTCGAACTGGCGGTGACACAGTTCGAACTCGCCTTCGAACTCGCCCCAGAGCAGTTCGAACTCGATTTTGACCTGGCGGCGGCCGCGTCGAACTCGAACTCGAACTCGAACTCGACCCCCCCCCCGGAGAGAAAAAAAAAAACCTTTCCGAGTATGCATTCACGGTCAAGCTCTGAAAGACTGCGAGCTGTCAGCCGGGAAGTCAGGTGCCAGGAATTAATTTTTTTCCGTATCAGATTGAGGGGGGGAGATATGGCATGTTACCAACGCAAGCATCCAGGAAATAATTTTCTTACTTGGCTATCAGAGGGGTAAATTTATTGGATGTTGGACGTTGGGCACCAGGAAATTAGCAAAACAAATTCAAAAAGGTGGTTGGAAGTGAGAGTTCGGCTTCAGAGGTTAGGGGCCAGGAATTTAAAGCTTCAAAACCTCTCTCAAAGGTTAGGGGTCATCATTTTAGACCGATTTTTTTCTAGGCCCAGACCCCACGTTAAAGTACTGAGGGATCTTGAAATCATGTCCAATCTAAGGCAACTAAGTTTCATTTCGCCAAGCAGCGACGCTTCGTATAGTTTGCATATCATCGCTCCGACCGGAACGAAAAAAAACATCCAAGCTGTATGGTTGGATGCTGCTTGTTTTACGAGACAATGACCAAATTTAGACGGCAACTGGCTGCACACCATGTCAAGCCATCAACCCCCAGGAAATCAATGACCTTCGGCAAACTTAGCCCCGACAAATCGAGAATGTTTGTGCTCTCAAGCCAACATACCCATGTCGTGTTCTCAGGCCAACATTTGGTCCGAGTACTTGTATTACCAACATGGCTTCTCAGCGACACGTCTGCCTACGCATGAAAACCCCCACCCTGACTTGGCCTCTCCTTCCAGAAGGGTATGCGATGACCACACCAAGCGTAGATTGAACATGTGCAGCCATCAGTGTCACACGCAGTTTTTCGCCAGAGCGGGAGTTCGACGACTTGGAAGAGTCATAGTACGGACAACATTGGAGAATAGTTCGAACCCTCGAACTCGAACTCGAACTCGAACTCGAACTCGAACTCCACCCCCCCCCCCGCCACAAAAAAAAAAACTCCCGACCTAGAACTCGACTCGAACTCCACTCGAACTCCCCCCCCCTCCCCTCGAACGATGACAGTTCGAACCTCGAACTCGAACTCGAACTCGAACTCCCCCCCCTCCCCTGGAAGGATAACAATTCGAACCCTCGAACTCGAACTCCCCCCCCCCCGCCCAACGAAAAGAAAATCTCCCGACGAACTCGAACTCGACTCAACTCCGTCCCCCCTCTCGAACTCGAACTCGAACTCCCCCCCCCCCTCCCCTGAACATAACATTCGAACCCTCGAACTCGAACTCGAACCCCCCCCCCCCCCAACGAAAAGCAAATCTCCCGACCTCGAACTCGAACTCGAACTCCTCCCCCCCCCTCCCCTCGAACGATGACAGTTCGAACCCTCGAACTCGAACTCGAACTCCACCCCCCCCCCGCCAAAAAAAAAAACCTCCCGACCTCGAACTTCCCCCCCCCCCATCCCCTCCGAAGCAGACGTACGATGCCAGTTCAAACTGGTGTCGAACAGTTCGAACCCCCCCGGGTTAACTCGAACCCTCGAACTCGAACTCGAACTCGAACCCCCCCCCATCCCCTCGAGGCACACCTAGGATGGCAGTTCGAACTCGAATCGAACAGTTCGAACCCCCCGGGGCACACTCTGCCCATCGCTTTAATCCCAGAGTTCGATGAGAACAATTTGCAGTGAACCTCTGTATTCAAGGCTGAAAACAAGTGTTTCCCGTAGGCTTTCCTTCAATGCATCCGGTCAACGGGATAGAACTTAAGTGACTGGTGCACGAGTGCTGGTACGAGGCGCCGTGCCCTTGTTTTTGGACACATATTTCAAAGCTTAAGCAGCTTAATTGGTAGATAGAATAAGCTGAATAAACATAGAAGCGCCCGACATCATAAATTATCCCAAGGTGCACGGACGGTTTCTTGAAATGGAGGATCCCCAAAACCATAGGTTTCAATACTAAAAAGGTCTAAGTTTGAATGATGTGGGGGTACCCTCATTTTAGGAAACCTCGGAATAGAGAAAAACTGGAGTGTCCTTGGCTGACTTTTTCCACCACTGCAGGTACTCAAGAGCAGGTGTCGGACCTTCTTCAATCGTCCCGGCCTCAGCGATGGCAAGATGAATGGATGGGAAGTCAACTATGGGAAACCCTGGCTGCCATAAACCTACCATTGGGCATGGCTTATTATTGGCTTTACCAGATTAATAACTGAGGAGTTACCATGAGTCAACCAGCAAACATTCGGATTGAAGCAACAGAGATGCGGGCTGTTAAGCAGCAAAGAACACGGGCTACGGCTAAGTGGTAGCCAGATGAAAATCTATTGACCCAACTGGGCCTTTTAATGAGTTCGGGGGAGACCTGCCGCTCCATATTTTTTTCCATGACCGGGGTGCAAACAGAGGCGCTACGTTTGGGGTGATATGTTTTTTCTCATGTTATATGTTTTTCTTATGCTTTGATGTACGCAGCGCATATGCTCATATGATGGTTATTTATGCACTTTTTTTGATGTATATTTCTTTATTTTGTTTTGGGATTTTGGAGATTTAGATTTGCATTGGTGTGGTTGTGTGACATTTAAATATGTTAAAACAGTTGTTTTATACTACAAAGGGGCCCACATATCTATTATTATACATACATACATGCCACATGATCCCCTTCCCCAAAGCTTTAAGGCACTCCCTTGGAAAGGTTCACACCAACATGTTGTTTTTAAATTCATGAATGATTCTTGGGATGTTCCAGATCTTTTTTTCCATCTCTGGGCTCGCACCAGGGATCTGGCTGTGGCGAGGTTGGGATATTTCCCTGGAGAGGAGATCTTCCATGAAACTCTGATGGCAGATGGCATGCAAGACACTGAGGCGCAGCGGGGAGAAACGACCATCCGTGGTACCGTGGTAGTCATGACGGGGGAAGTGGGGTGCGAGGATGTTTTAAATCCCAAACAATGATAGACGTTGAATGACGTTGACAGGTGCATTCATGTACATACTTAAATAAATGTACATATAGCTTTTACATTTCTCTGGCCACCAGACAGAGCCACAGATGTCCATGATGGCCATGATGGCCATGATCTATGCCTGCAAGCCTATAATACGATCAGATGAAAAACGTCGATATGCACTCACACGCATATGTTGCAATATGCAGCACATCTTGATTTCGAGCAACCAACGTCTTGAGTTTACTCCAGGGGTCGGTAAATGTCCTAATTAAACATCACCCAACTGTTAGGGATATGATATAATCATAATCTCAAACAAATAACTTGAAGTTGATGTTCAAAATCCCCAAAAAGGGACATCTACCAATCCCTGATTTACTGGCTTTTGGGCCGTTGCCCCTGAACGTCGGAAGGAGTTTGACTTCACGATGCTGCGGGCGGTGACGGGACAATGCAGGCGGCACTTGGCCAAGGCCGGGGATAGCACAATGATTGGGGATGGTCTATACGACCCATAAAAATGGTGATGACTTGGGGATGGGTGACTATTTTGTTTACCAATGTTTACCATACTATTGCAGTTTATGCTGATTATGATTAATTTGGGTGAGTCTATGGTGGTTTAATGGTGGTTTCATGAGGATTTAATGCGGGTCTGGTCTGACACTGGAAATATATATATATAATTGGATTTAATTTGAATATCACCGGGGATAAGAGTGAGAGTACAATCGGATTTCTAGGTAAATGGTATTCCAAAAATGGAAACATGTGTGCCTTTGTTTCTTTATCTACCCGGTGTTCCCTCTTGTACTTTATCTGGGGATATCTGGGGTGTTGGGAGCAACCTTGGTTTGTGGCACAAAAAAATGGCGGCAATATGTTTGGGATGAACGAGATTTCCATCAGCAACAGCTGCAGTTACAGATGGGGTGCTTGTTTTTTAAGTGGGCAACCCGGCAACCCAATAATAAACCTATCATTTGCGGACGGTTTATGCTGTATTATGCCATTCATTTCTGGTGATTTTGACGATGGTTATTGTTGGGTTTACCACTGTACTTTCCGCTGTTCCAGTTCGTGGCTCGAGCTGCGCGGCGACGCGCAGCCGTGCGCGCCATGGGCTATGGGAAAACCTGGGGAGCCTCATATGGCAAGGCGCGAGCTTTTCCCCGCCAGTTGCTAGTGGCTAGTGGATGTTGTGAATGATTCTTGTTGATGGATGTTGATAAGAGCTAAATCAACGTTCAACGTAAGATATTTAAGGCCAACATCGAACAACACAAATCGCTTCTTATCACTTGATGCAGCAGCATGGAAAACAGACTTTGAAATCCAGGCCTTGTTTTCTGAAAGTACGCGCATCATTTGTTTTGAGCTTGAACCAGCAGCTAGTCAGCAGCATTCTTGAGGCGGACCGTAGTTGGGAGAAGCACAAGAGTGAGCCCTATGAGCCAGAATACAAGCGAACCTGCTCCAACTGTCCCTTGCACATAATTTGTGGCGAGGGGTGGTGGAGGTTTCGATAAATTGGGGATTCCCAAAAATGGATGATGTAGGGGTACCTCTATGATAGGAAACCCCCCGACATCAGCCGGAAGGTGAGACGTGAGATTCCCTGTTTGATGCTGTGCTATGTTTCTCCCCATTCCACCTTCCATTGTCCATGCCTCGATTGCTTGGCATATTGTTTCATTGCGTTTGGCCATAGTTCGGATGGTCAGCAGTATTATGGAATGATAGGAATACCCAAAGCGACGGCGCTGTTTTGAATTCATAATGTCCGTTAACATACCATTTTTTCATATTTTTCTCTTTTGCCTTGATTGCCCGGCTTTGTTCTGTATTTGAAGTTGCTTCACCTTTTTTCACCTGCGTTGTTGCTGCGTGTTTCACCGTAGAGACCATTTGGGAGCTTCCGTGCCGCCTTCACCGCAACGCCATGAATGATGTTTAACAAATGGACACCACCTTCTTTTTCATGGGCCACGGACTGTGATTTTGGAGTGATCATCACTGATGGGGGTCCCAGATCACCATTGTAATTTCTCCTTTTTGGTGTGCGATCCGGATAAAACAATTGATCATATGGTTCAAATATGTTGTATGTTCCGCCCGTTTTTTGGACGATGATCCTTCACGTGGTCTTTTCACTAGGGTCCCCCACAAATTGCTTGATTATTTTATTACATCTACATTATTTTTTTGTTTATATCCTTACGATGATTTTTGGACAGTAATACCATGTTTGTCAGAGATTACTCCATTGCCCACACGTCCGATTCGGGAAATGCAATTTCACTTGCCAGAATCGTTATATAGTTGAACTGAGTTGAACTCGCATTTTGTTTGCTACGTGGCTGATGTCCAAGTTGAATTACCAGTTTTTTTCTTGCGTCTGGCTTCTAATATTACCATTTCTTGTTGATAGCATCATTTTTTCCACGATAGACTCTCCAGTAAACCATCATACAAATGATGGACACTCCCCATGGACCATAGCCATTAGTTTACGAGGCGAATTCCCATATCCCCATGTTTGTTGGTTGAAGCCCTATTTACCACTGAACCCCATTGGAGTCCCATTGAAATCTCATTATGTAAAAATGCTTTGAAATCCCAAATCTAATCCAAGTAACATGCCATTATAATTAAATATAATTAAATCATATTAAATCCCATTAGCATCCTTTGCAAATCCCATTAGGATTCAATAATTCAATATGACAATCCCATGAAAAAATCACATCAACTTCCAAATTTCATCAAATTTGTGATATTAAATGGATATATTAAATTTAAATTGTGATATTAATTTTTATGCCAACTGGACACCTTTTAGAAATTTGGGAGACTTTTTTTTGGACGCCTCGAGCCGTAAGCACGCAAATAAGGTGGAGGTCGAGGGCACGATGCTTCTCAATGCTCCAGTAAGGTGATGTGCCCAGCGGCTTGGATGGAAAGATCGTGATTAGAAAGGTGCAAAAAGCTGATTTTTATAGCTGGTTTAACTATGCTTAACTATGTTTAACTATGTTTAACTTCTATGTCAATGGGAAAACTATATATTTCATAGTGATTTTTTAGTGACTTGTGGCGATTTTATAGTGATTTGATAGTGATTTTATGACTGGTTGGTGGTTTGGAACATTTTTTATTTTCCATCATATATGGGACAATCCTTCCCATTGACTAATATTTTTCAGAGGGGTTGAACCACCAACCAGATGATATCTTATGGAGAATTGATGGCGATTTTAATAACATACGCTTGGTTGATTGAACCATTGAACCAGGGGGTTACCTTGCAATGTAACATGATTGTTTGATGGTTATTCCCAAACGGGACATGTATCCCCTAAGAAGGGGTACTTTGGAGCTAGACAAGTACAAAGCACATTGTATGCATCCCCAAATTTGATGGTTATTATAGATTTGAGGATAACCATCAAATTTGGTTTTTATCTATGTATAGATTTTCATAACTATAGGATAACCATACATATAGGATAATCTATGGTCTATTATATCTATGGTCTATTATATCTATAGATGTTCATGGTCTATTTGATAGAACTGTCTATTATACCTATAGATTTTCATGGCTACCATCTGGTTATTTATCATAGCCATGGAAAATCACCATGCTATTAATAGGTAAACCATCTATTGCTATGGGCCATTTTCCATGGCTATGCTAAGTAATCGGAGGGTATAGATAGAAATGCCCAAGAATTGCCTATTTGAACCCACCAGTAGTATGGTTTAGTTCACCGAATGGCCGCCATGGCCATGGCCATGGATAGTATCCGGGGTAGCCCAGTCAGACACAAAAAGATCAAAAGTCTGAATTAAGAAGTTGGATCTGCAAATTCTTCCGGGCACTAGCTATATATATATATATATACATTACATATATATATATATATATGTGATTATATAAATATATATATATACACAGATGCATATGCGAAGTGGTCTGGAATTCAATCCCAAGTGGTTTCACATGCAGCTGGAATTCTCTCCAAATTTTGCTGGAGATCGGGTGGTGCTGCGGGCCACCCTTGCTGGGACTGCCCTTGCAATTCCACCTGGCAATGAGACAATGATCTGTCTGATGTGGTAAAACCAATGATAAACCATCCCTAATATGACCAGAGAACATATTAAAACCAGGTGGTAACTAACATCTCCAAATGGTAGGTTTATTATTAGGTCTACTACATTTCTTTCTTTGAATAGGGAAATCATCTGTGTGCAGGCCATGTTTCCACTCCACTAGGCTGGTTGAAACCACCGGCCGGGTCATCCATTGAACTGCACCCATGCCCTGAATTTAAGGATGTCACTAATGTAAATGGCGGAAAAAAGCTCTATGTCCCATATGAATCCCATATATCACATAACCATATATAATTCATATATATGTATATAACCCATATAATTGCAACCACATATAACTTTTACCATATAATATAGAATGATAACGATGTATTATAATCCATGTTTATCATATATCCTGTTTATAACCCATGTATAATTTCTAACCCATATATAATCCAAAATATGGTATGTACATATATAACCCATAGCCATACCCAGATAATGAAGTCATTCCATGTCCTCTGCGGCCGAGATTTGTGGTATCCCCGGCCACTCCAAAGAGATCTGCTGGAACATCACTAAACGGCCCCTCGGCTGAAGCTCTGGAGTTGGTGGTTTCCAACTGCAGAATAGCCACCCAAAAAGAGATAGAAGTTATGGACGGGCATTGGCAAAGAATATGTCTGTAATACATATGCAATTAAGGTTTTGGTTCTGTATATGCATGTATGTGTAATATAGAGATGGTGCATTGCAGCGTCTTCATGTTCCTTTTCATTGGCATCATCATGCCATTGTTTTGCGATTATT